AAGAGGAGGGAGACCGGAGGAGTTGTGTGGGGACAGGGTCAAGGGGGTAAGTGGTGAGGTTGGCTTCTGAGAAGACCTTAGTGACCTCTTCAGTGGTGGCAAGGCTGAAGGAGTGGAATGTTGGGGAGGTTTTAGTGTGCGGGATGTTAGGTGTGGTGGGGGTCAGGGCGGTTGCGAAGTCAGAGGAGGGGAGAGTTGATGGGGGTTATCGTGGGAGGGAGGCTAGGTGGGGAGGTAGATTGAGCATTGGCGATGTCTTTACAGATTGCGTCGATCTTGTTTTGGAAGTGGTTGGAAAACTCTTGGGCGGTGAGTGAGGTACTGGGGGTGGAGGTGGGGGGGGGAGAGAGAGTAGGGAGTTGAACGTGGAAAAGAGCCGGCGAGGACAGGTGGAGAGGGTATTGATGAGGGTTACGAAGTAGGCTTGTTTGGCAGCGTGGAGGGAGGAGGTGTAGGTGAGGATGGTGGATTTGTAAAGGGTGAATGCTTGAGGGGATCTGGTTTTGCACCATAATCGCTCCAGCGCATCTGCTTGTATGTATAAGCATACCTGTAGGTACAAGTCTTCAAGTGGTGTTTATTACCGCTTTAAAGGCTTTTCTGCTACCCATGGACAACTCAGAATGTTTTGTAGCATTGTCTTCCCAAGTTTGGGATTATAAATAAAACCAAGGGTCCAAACACTGACAGACTGAAATTTAGACCCCACTGACCAGTGGATTAGCAGGGTCTTTTTTTTAAATTATAGATATATTGCATAAATAGAGCCTTTGTCTTTGTATTCAGTCATTAATTAGGTACTGAGATTGTGTTGTCATTGATATACACGGTTTAACCACACCTCTTTTTTCTGCAAGGTTTATTTTATATTTTAAATAAAATCTACCTTATGCTATAAGTATAGGTGAGTTCTGGGCGGGTCACTGCTGGGAGGGGACAGTAGAAAGGATTATCTATCCCACATCTCCCTAGCGAGAACCAATTATATATATATACAGTGAAATAAATAAGTATTTGATTCCATGCTGATTTTGAATGTTTGCCCACTCACGAAGAAATGATCAGTCTAAAAATCTAATGGTAGGTGATTTGTAACACTGAGAGATAGAATAGCAACACAAAATTCAAAAGAAATGCATGTCTAACAAATTATGCACCAATTTGCATGTTCATGAGCAGGGGCGGACTGACCATTTGGAAACTCGGGCACTGCCCGAGGGCCCCGGGGTCAGTGGGGGGCACCCTGAGATGCCCCGGTACCTTTTTTCATAGGCTTTTTTGAGTTTGGGCAAGAACACAGGGGCCCCATGATCCCCTATTGCCCGGGGCACCATGAGTTGTCAGTCTGCCCCTGTTCATGAGGGAAATAGGTAATTGATCCCTTTCGTAAAACATGACTTAGTACTTGGTGGCAAATCCCTTGTTGGCAAACACATAGGTCAGACGTTTCCTGTAGTTGGCCACCAAATTTGCACACATTTCAGGAGGGATTTTGGCCCACTCCTCTTGGCAGATCCTCTCCAAATCATTAAGGTTTGGTGTCTGACTTTTGGCAACTAGAACGTTCAGCTCCCTCCACAGATTTTCAATCGAATTAAGGTCTTGATGTGCTTCTTCTTGAGCCACTCCTTTGTTGCCTTGGCCGTGTGTTTTGGGTCATTGTCATGCTGGAACACCCATCCATGACCCATTTTCAATACCCTGGCTGAGAGGGGAAGAAGGTTCTCACCTAAGATTTGACTGTACATTGCCCCGTCCATCGTCCCTTTGATGTGCTGCAGTTGTCCTGTCCCCTTAGCAGAAAAACACCACCAAAGCAGAATTTTTCCACCACCATGTTTGACAGTTGGGATGGTGTTCTTGGGGTCATAGGCATCATTCTTCCTCCTCCAAACACGGCAAGTTGAGTTGATGCCAAAGAGCTCATCTGACCACAACACTTTCAACCAGTCCTCCTCTGCATCAATCGGCTGTTCAGTGGCAAACTTCAGATGGGTCTGGACATGTGCTTTCTTGAGCAGAGGGACGTTGCAGGCACTGCAAGATTTCAATCCTTGTTGGCGTAGTGTTACCAATTGTTTTCTTGGTGACTGTGGTCCCAGCTGCCTGGAGATCATTGACAAGATCCTCACGTGTAGTTCTGGCATGATTCCTCACGGTTCTCATGATCATTGACACGCCACGAGGTGAGATCTTGCATGGTGCACCAGACCTAGGGAGACTGACAGTTGTTTTGTGTTTCTTCCATTTGCAAATGATTGCACCAACTGTTGTCACCTTCTCACCAAGCTGCTTGGCAATAGTTTGGTAGCCCAGTCCAGCCTTGTGTAGGCCTACAATCTTGTCCCTGACATCCTTGGACAGCTCTTTGGTCTTTGCCATGGTGGAGAGTTTGGAATCTGATTGTTTGATTGCTCCTGTGGACAGGTGTCTTTTATACAGGTAACAAAATGAGATTACCAGTACTCCCTTTAAGAGACTGCTTCTAATCTTGTTACCTGTATGAAAGACACCTGGTAGCCAGAAATCCTGTTGAATGATAAGAGATAAAATATTTATTTCCCTAATGAACATGCAAATCAGTGCATATTTTGTTAGGCATGCATTTCTTTTGAATTTTTTGTTGCTATTCTGACTCAGTGTTATAATACACCTACCATTCGATTTGTAGACTGAGCATTTCTTTGTGAGTGGGAAACCATTCAAAATCAGCAGGAGATCAAATACTTATATCCTTCACTGTATACACACACACACACACACACTGCTCAAAAAAAAATTAAAGGAACACTTTGAAAACACATCAGGTCTGAATGGGGGAAAATATCATGCTGGATATCTATACTGATATGGACTGGGTAATATGTTAGGAACATAAGGATGCCCCATTGTTTGATGAAAATAAAAATGATCAACCTACAGAGGACTGAATTCAAAGGCACCCCGAAAATCAAAGTGAAAAAATGATGCAGCAGGCTAGTCCATTTTGCTTAAATTTTATTGCAGCAACTCAAAATGGTACTCAGTAGTTAGTATGGCCCCCATGTGCTTGTATGCATGCCTAACAATGTGAGGGCATGCTCCTAATGAGACAATGCTCCTGGGGTATTTCCTTCTAGATCTAGAACAGAGCATCACTGAGCTCCTGGACAGTCTGAGGTGCAACCTGGCGGCTTCAGATGGACCAAAACATGATGTCCCAGCTGTGTTCTATTGGATTTAGGTCAGGCGAGCATGGGGGCCATTCAGCGGTATAAATTCCTTCATCGTCCAGGAACTGCCTGCATACTCTCACCACAGGAGGACGGGCATTGTCGTGCACAAGGAGGAACCCAGAACCCACTGCACCAGCGTAGGGTCTGACACTGGGTCCAAGTATTTCATCCCGATACCGAACGGCAGCCAGGGTGCCATTTTCTAGCCTGTAGAGGTCTGTACATCCCTCCATGAATATGCCTACCCAGACCATCACTGACCCACCACCAAATGGTCATGCTGAATGATGTTACAGAGAGCATAACATTCTCCATGGCTTCTCTAGACCCTTTTATGTCTGTCACATGTGCTCAGGGTGAAAAGCACATGCTCTCAACCTGCCAATTCTTTTGTTCAATGGCAAATGCCAATTGAGCTCTATGTTGCCAGGCAGTGAGCACAGGGCCCACTAGAGGATGTTGGGCCCTCTGGCCACCTTCATGAAATCTTTTTCTTATTCATTTCAGTGTCCTACTGGAGTCATTGTAGGGCTCCGGCAGTGCTCATCCTGTTCCTCCTTGCACAAAAGAGCAGATACTAGTCCTGCTGATGGGTTAAGGACCTTCTACAGCCATGCTCAACTCTCCTAGAGCAACTTCCTGTCTTCTGGAATCTCCTCCATGGTCTTGAGACTGTGCTGGGAAACACAGCAAACCTTTTGGCAATGGCACATATTGATGTGCCATCCTGGAGGAGTTGTACTGCCTGTGCAACCTCTGTAGGGTCCAGGTATCGCCTCATGCTACCAGTAGTGACACTGTCCCTAGCCATACAAAACTAGTAAAAAACAGTCAGAAAAGGATGAGTAGGGAAAAAAATGTCATTAGCCTCCACCTGTAAAACCATTCCTGTTTTGGGGGTCATCTCATTGTTGCCCATCTAGTGCACCTGTTGTTAATTTCATTAACACCAAAGCTGCTGAAACTGATTAACAACCCCCTCTGCTATTTAACTGACCAGATCAATATCCCAGGAGTTTAACTGACTTGATGCTATACTCTGATTAAAAAGTGTTCCTTTAATTTTTTGGAGCAATATATAAATATATATTATATATATATTGCATATGCAGTACTGTGCAAACGATTCTGGTATGTGTAAAGAAATGCTGTAATGTAAGAATGCTTTCAAAAATATATATTTTAATTGTGAGTGAGTGAACAGAAACAAATCTAAATTTGATTATCCTTTGGCTTCACACCAGCACCAATTCCTACACTTGAACACTTTATACACTTACGCAAAGTCAGGGATTCTGTAGGATTACAGTCAGGTGTATGATTAACCACTTGCCTACCAGGCACTTATACCCCCTTATTTACCAGGCCAATTTTCAGCTTTCAGCGCTGCCGCACTTTGATTGACAATTGCGCGGTCATGCAACATTGTACCCATATGAAATTTTGATCATTTTTTTCTCACAAATAGAGCTTTCTTTTGGTGGTATTTAATCGCCACTAGGCGCTTTAATTTTTGCGCTATAAATAAAAAATTGCCAAAAATTAAAAAAAAAAAAAAAAAGTTTCTTTGTTTCTATTATAAAATTTTTCAAACAGGTAATTTTTCTCCTTCACTGATGTGCGTTGATGAGGCAGCACTGATGGGCACTGATAGGCGGCACTGATGGGCACTGATAGGCAGCACTAAAGGGCACTGATAGGCAGTACTAATGAGGTGTCACGGATAGGCGGCACTAATATGCAGCACTGATAGGCGGCACTGATAGGTGACACTGATGATGGGTACTGATAGACGGCACTGACTGGCATCACTGCTGGGCACTGACTGGCGGCACTGACTGGCACAACCGCTGGGCACTGACTGGTGGCACTGACTGGCAGCACTGCTGGGCTGCACTGGTGGGTGGCACTGGTGGGCAGCACTGGTGGGTGGGCACAGGTGGGTGGCACTGGTGGGCACAGGTGGGTGGCACTGCTGGGCACAGGTAGGTGGCACTTCTGGGCACAGGTGTGTGAAATTGCAGAGTGGCACAGGTGGGTGCACTGCTGGGCACAGGTGGGTGATCTGCTGGGCACAGGTGGGCGGAGCTAGTGGGCGCACTGCAAGGCACAGGTGGGCAGAACTTGCGGGTGGCACTGCTGGGCACCGATCATCAGGGCACTGATCATCAGTGCCCTGATGATCGGTGCCGATCCCCGCTCTGACAACTGCCGGTTCTCGGCAGTACTTTCCTCATGATCTGACAGCGTGAGGAAAGTGCAGCCGAGAACCGGCACTTGCATTTCCCTCTGATCAGCGTGTCATTGGACACCGCTGATCAGGTGGTAAAAGGCCGCTGTGATTGGTCTTTTACCACATCACGTGATCAGCTGTGTCTGTAGGACACAGCGATCACGGAGATCACCGGGGTGCTCGCCCCCTGGGGCGCGCAGGAGAGCGCGTTCTGGGGGGACGTCATATGACGTCCACTCAGAACTGGCCGGCCGCAGTGCAGCCGTCATTCGGCTATCTGCGGTCGGCAACAAGTTAACCAATTATTCCAAGCAGGTGCTAATGTTCATCACTTTCATATGTAGGGTGAAACACAGTCATTAACTTAAAGAGGAACAGCTCTGTAGGAGGCTTAAAACTGGGCATGCAACAGCCAAACTCTGCTACTAAGGTAGGGTTGTAGAAGACAGTTTCATGTCATAGGTCATACATTATGGCAAGACTGAGCACAGCAACAAGACACAGGGTAATTATACTGCATCAGCAAGGTCTCTGCCATGCAAAGATTTCAAAGCAGATCGGGGTTTCAAGATGTGCTGTTCAAGCTCTTTTGAAGAAGCACAAAGAAATGGGCAATATTGAGGACTGTAGATGCAGTGGTAGGTTAAGGAAACTCAATGCAACAGATGAAAGACACATCATGCTTACTTCCCTTTGACACTGGAAGATGTCCAGCAGTGTCATCAGCACAGAACTGGTGGAAACCAGCCAAACTTCTTATGGAAGAATTGCCACCAAAAAGCCATACTTCCGACCTGGAAACAAGGCTATGCGATCCATCTATGCATGAAAACATAGGAACTCGGGTGCAGAAAAATGGCAGCCAGTGCTCTGGACTGATGAGTCAAAATTTGAAACATTTAGCTGCAGCAGGAGGCAGGTTGTTTGCCAAAGGGCTGGAAAGCAGTAGAGTAATGAGTACCTGAAGACAACAGTGAAGCATGATGGAGGTTCCTTGCAAGTTGGAGGCTGCATTTCTGCAAATGGAGTAGGACATTTGGTCAGGATCAATGGTGTCCTCAATGCTAAGAAATACAAATACTTATCCCATAATACCACACCATAGGGGGACAGGTAATTGGTCCCAAATTTATTTTGCAGCACGACAAACAACCCCAAACATACAGTCAATGTCATTAGGAAATATCTTCAGTGTAAATAAGAACAAGGAGTCCTGGAAGTGATGAGCTGGCCCCCACAGAGCCCTGATCTCAACATCACCGAGTCTGTCTGTGATTATGTGAAGAGACAGAAGGATTTGAGACAGAAGGATTTGAGACAGTCTACATCCACAGGTCTGTGGTTAATTCTCCAAGATGTTTGGAAAAACCTATCTGCCGAGTTCTTTCAAAAACTGTGTGCAAGTGTACCTAGAAGAATTGATGCTGACCCACAGAAGTCAGGTGGGCTAACATTTCGCCCTAGGGTTGAATTCTTAACTTACTGAGGACATGAAACAATGGGCATTAGTCACTTTTGGACAGTTCATAGAATTTATTCAGGCTAATAAACTCCATAGAGAGAGGTTAATTGCACATGATACCTGAAAGAACAATGCGCAGACTGGAAAAATCTTACTTACAGCAGATACATAAAAAAATAACCTTGCCAGACCAGCAATATGTATTTTTCTGACTAAGCAGTTGTATAGTATGAACCCTTCGGATGAGCCAGAAGACTTAAGCATATTCAAACATGTATGTTGCTCTTTGGAAGATTCTCCAGTAGATAAAGTTCCTTCCTGGTGATCTAATCCAGATTCTAGCTTCATGCCTCCCAGGCAACACCATTAGTCAGGCAGTGCAAGCTTCAGGCCCAAACCTGGGCCTACCTTTCTCAGGCACATGTGTTGTCCCCAGATAGCAGGCCTGAGGAAACAGGAACAACAGCACACATGTGCTCCCCAGGCAGAGCCAGGGAGGCAAGAAAATGTCTAGAAGGTTCCCCGGAATATTTATTGCTTTCCCTAGCATGCAGCACTGGCAATAGACTTCCTAGTGGTTGGCCTGGGAGCTATAAATATCCATAATTCAGACTAGTGAATCTACCCACACTAGGGCAGGGTCCATTATATATATATATATATATATATATACATACAGTACATACCAGGGGCGGACTGACAACTCATGGGGCCCCTGGGCAATAGGGGATCATGGGGCCCCTGTGTCCTTGCCCAAACTCAAAAAAGCCTATTAAAAAGGTACCAGGGGCATCTCATGGGACCCCCTACTGACTCGGGCCCTCGGGCAGTGCCTGAGTTTCCAATTGGTCAGTCCGCACTTGGTACATGCATACATATACACACACACACAGTATATGTTGGTTACAAAGGTTTAAGGTCCTTTAAAGAACCATGCTTTGCAGTAACATGCAGTAAAACTAATATTACTGCAATGCCTCAGAACACGTGGCAGTTTTTGTCACTATACTACTCATTTTAAGTGGTATGCACTGGTGCAGTAGGTGCCAACAAACCAGCAATGCAGCAGATCGTAGCACACATGTTGTGCATTGAGGTGCGCTGTATATAAATAAAAATGCTGCAAGTCCTAAATAAACTGGCTTAATAAATGAACTACCTTAACTCAATGTAGGTTAATGTACAAAACACCCCATATTAACACTCCCCAACAAACAGCAAATGTGTAAAGGGCACCATAAGATTGGGTACCAAGCATTGCAAGAATGCACTGCATAGGCCCTGAGAGGGATGGGACCTGCTGTGCTCAGACCCACTCTTCATCCATGGATGAGACAAGCCTGAGATGCTGCAGTTCCCTCTCTCTGGCTCCTGTCACAAGATTGTGTGTGCCTACATTCTCACTCATGCACAGATACTGTTGTTGGAGCTTAGAGTAGCTGTCTTGGGGTGAGTACTGCCTCTCTGGAAGGGGGGTGGGGCACGGATGTCATTCACTGGAGCCCGGGAGAAATAAATCTACATCTGTGAGAGATGTGCCTGAGTCTAGTGAGGTCTGTGAGTTCGGGGGGATGTGCAGATGAGCTAAAGGGGTGCTGGGTAGCATGAGGATGGTGTGGGGTGGGGAAGTCTGAAGATGGGGAGCTGGTAAGTTTGAGATTAGTGGAGGACTGGGAAGCCTGAGGATGGTGGGGGCTGGGAATCCAGAGAAAACTGAGGATGGGGGGACTGAGAAGACTGAGCATGGGGAGCTGAGAAGATGGAGCATGAAGGGGGCTTTGCAAATATTCCTACTCCTGTACTCCTCCTGCAATACACTATATTGTACATTATAGACTTCTCACCCAAACTGTTCATTGACTGTTTCATTGAAGTTCTTCTGTAAGGTAGGCTTAGATAAAGTGTTAGCTCTATGACTATTTTTAGTGTATGCAAAACCAAATGTAATGGAAGAGTTTTATTTTTTTATGGGTACAAGAAGACTTGTATTTTAGTTAATCAGGCCCCTTTAAGCCCCTTCCAATGTCAAAGCAATTTGGCCTCACTCACCATTCTCTAAGTGCACCGCATTACTATTCTATGGGAGGTCCACAGATCTGCACCAGGTCTAGGATTTAGCAACACCCTAGCCACAATGAAAACCATGCCCTATCTTTGCCACCGTGCACTAAGCTTGCCGCAAATGTTTTGCTTCTATCAAGCAATGGGGCCCAGCTTATGATCTTGCACACAGGCCCACTGATTTCATAAATTGCCTCTGGTACCAAGAAATCTCTGAAAACAAAAAAGCACGCTAAAATATAATGGAGCAAAGGCGTGAAAGGCTCTGGGTCTGAAATGGTTACAAAAAAAAAAAATAAGCAATAAAGCAAACAAAGCATGACTATCCTTTTTTTTATCCTTAATCTTTTCATGAAGAAGCATTATAAGGAGTTAAATAGCCCTGGGAGAAAAGCAGCTTGTGAACGTGTCAATGTTTTCTAGAATCTTTGCAATTCTAGACACAATTCTCTGAATCCACCACATTATGCTCTTGCTTTCCTCTGCACACAAGCAGGCCTTGCTCATAATAGAAACGATTTGAATCCAGTGAAAAATCTTCCTTTGCGTGATCATGCATCTATTCTCTCAACAATGAATAGCTGGGGTCAGTAGCTATGGAAATGCTCAAACACAGAAGTCATTCACTCAGAAGGCTATATGGAAATGGTATGTTTTCAGAGGCTTCCATGGCTTGGTGTAGAAGACTCAATTTAAAACCTTGGTGTCTTCTGTGAGAGACTTTCATTAGTCTCCAGCTCTCCATGTAAAATTGAATGTTTCACAGAGAAACAATTGCAACTTTTTATCTTATTTATAAAGAATTGTCTGTGAAGAACAATGACACTGACTGTGAAATTAGAGGTGCTATGTGATGCAATGACAAAAAATAACATTAAGATGAATTTGCTGAATTTACTATACAAGGAGGAGAAATTAATAAGTTACTGAAGCTGTGCTGCACAAAATTGATTCTTACAATTCACCCAGAACTGATATTTTAGTATTTTGTAGAAGATGGAGAATAAAATTACCTAGATGTTTCTCTAATGTAGAAATTGTGAAGGAGGCTTCATTCTCCTTTTTGGATTATTAATGTATCTGATATGCAGAATGTAACAATTGGAGTAAGAACACCCCAGTTCAGCAGAAGGCAGATAGCCAGTAGAGTCCCCATGTGACCCAATAGTCCACAGTAAGTGCTTAGGAAAGCTGATGACCGTGTAAAACCACAACACACTAAGTACAAATCATAAAAAAACATTTATTGACACACTGTAAGTCCAGTCTTTAAAGAAGTAATTGATAATAGATCCTCATATTAAAACAAATGTATAGAAAGCCCATACCCAGGCATAAACAGGCATGAGGTCTCTGCTGTAAGCTGTAAGTATTTTTCATGCACATAGAACCCAAGATGCCTGTAATAGTAGATAGGGACAAGCCAGTGATGACATGTGGTTGTTGGTCCCAGAAATAGATTACCCTTGTCAGATGAGGATAGCAGAAACTGCATACTGGACTGATATATGCTGCGTGATCATGTGG